TATAGCGTCACAACACTTAACAGCCAGAACGTGCCTTTGGGCACTTTTCCCAGAGCGCAGACTGCCAGGCCGTGGGAAAGGTCACCGAATCAGAGGTTTCCCACGATAGGAAGGAGCCAGACCGTGGAAAACTATAGGGTGGCCCAGAACATACTTCACGTTTCTAACAACGGAGAATATCGATGGCTCTCGCTGCTCTGAAGCGACGCAATCGCCAAGAAGAGTTACTGGACTTCACTTGAAGGACGTGTACGAGACGCTCAAGTTGAATAATCTGCACTTCCAGGACTGGTTGCGATCCATGGGGTTGATGTCTGTGCCACTATGCCCTTCATGTCAACGATCCATGAGCCTGATCAACGACGAACGGCACAACGGCTGGATTTGCAATCGTCGAGCGTGCCGCACTGGACCGTCGAACGAGACCAGGGTCTACGTTCATGAAAGGATTCCTTTTTCGAGAACTGTAACTTTCCTGAGTCCACGGTGTTCGCACTGCCCTATTTCTGGCTGCGCGACATGGGCAAGGTGAAGGACAAGGAATACGAGCTCAACGTCGGCCACACCAGTGGGAGCGGTTCTTCGCGCGCATGGAGCACTTCAGAAAAGAACCCTCCGATCATTGGAAGGGTTGGGATGCGAGGTGGAAATTGACGAAACACTGGTCACCAAGACGCAAATACAACCGCGGTCCTTGGGTACGCAGGCACCAGTGGCTGTTTGGAGGCATCGAAAGAGGAAGTGGACGAGCATTCCTGAGGCTGGTTCGAAAAGACGCTCCAACTCTACTGCTGCTCATCATGAAGTACATCAGACCCGGTACTACCATCCTCAGTGGAGAGCTGGAGAGCTTCACACTCAAATGTGCTCTTTACAACGCATACTGGCATCTTCAGGTCAACCACCAGCTGAACTTCGTGGATCCGCAGTCTAGAGCTCACACTCAAAACGTCGAGTCACTGTGGCAGAAGTACAAGGATATGAGCAAGCGGCGTTATTTGGAATCAACAACTCACGCTATGAGACTATCTGTGCGAGTTTCTTTTTTAACAACTATATTACAAGATCGGAATTGAGCTCCTGGAAAGCGGCTGAATACTGAATAGAACACTTCCTCTAATACACAAATACACGACATAGATACAGAATTACGGTAGGACCACATAACCACATACAGCACAGAACAGAACACAAGTAATAACGTACGTTTATTATGACGCAGTAACTCATCATATCCTGAAAACTCCCTGAGCCACGTCGCTCAGTGGTGAGCCCTTCCAGCTGTCGAACGCAGTAAACTCTCCGTGCACGGGCCCTGCGGGCTTCATGCGGCCGAAGCGTTCGACTTGGGGTGTTACAGTGGATGAGGAACAAGGAAAGGACACGAGTAATTCGGATCAGGTGGACACCTCCCATCTCGCCTTGAATCGGCGACACAATGAGCACATGCGCACCGCGTTGCACATTGGCGCACAAGCACAAGTGAGCAGAAGCGCCAGTCAGGTTGGTCGCCATTTGATGCGCCCCGAGCCACCGCCGACGTGTTAATCCAACGTCTTGCACAAAAGTGCTTCATACCAATTGAACATTATGATGGCGTACAAGAATTGAGCCTTCGTAAAGTCAAATTCCAAATATGATTCACGGACCAACGACGTACTTATGGCAACAGTGCTACGTGTCAGTGTTTCACTTCTCCCTCCACTGCATCCAGAACGACCTTTCTTGACATCCAACCTAGATATATGGTGGGCAAGAGGCTACAAGCGGCTCCACGGCGCTGGGTACTCAGAAAGAAGGGCGGCTGATGCAGCTTTTTTCAGAATAGCATCACGATTTTTATGAGGAAGCCAAAGAAATTTTTTTCAGAACTATGATCACCTTGAACTTGCTTTCTTTGACTGATTCGGTTTCCCCTTGACCATATTTCCGTGAGATGCCAAAGTCGAGAATGTGAATCTGAAACATTCATGTTTGCTTCTATGCGTTCAATAGTGCAGAATAATGGACAGAGTGGGACTAAACTACCATGCACCTACATAAATGCTTCGGACTTCTTCGAACTGTACTAGTTTCCCGTTCTACTAACTTATGATACGCGCTTGAGTGCTCTAGATTGAACTGCGACTGCTCTTTCCTTGATTTCTATTAGATATTATTATACATGGGCAAACCAAAGCTGATACCAGGTTTTAGGACGGGGATGCTGTAACGATATTTTGCTATCTTCTATCCTGTGAAAGTCATGAGTTTTCCTTAATATCGCTGAAGTTCAATACAGAAGAGCGGATCCAGTGAAGATCCATGAATCACGCGCTGGAAGAAATAGCGAGTTATCAGTATGATGCCGCAACCTGACACCCGGAGTGGAAGTGAACAGAAGCGACAAAAGAACTCAGGAAGAAATGTCACAAAATTTTTCACTTTTGGGAGAGAAAAGCCAGTGGAGTGTATGCAGTATGAACGTTGTGAAGTTGGACGGAAACGACGTAGATGATAGCTGGAAGAAAGGTAGCATAAAAAGGCAAGTGAAAACTACCGTCATCATTCCCTGCACACCGAAGAATGGTTTCATTTTCAATGAAAAATCGAGGTACATGAAGATTGGCAACAACTGACGTCTAATCATGCACTATGACACCCACAATGTGGATCACAAGCGATAAAGGGGTCTATCCCAGTTGGGGGTGGCATCATGATGCAGTGAGCTAGGGTAACTCCAAGCCAGGGGGAGTGCAGCCAGTCTACGGGGTGGGGGAGAGGGCAGTCACTTGACATGCGTGAAAAGCTGGAATGTTCGAGTTCACATAAGTTCGCTTCATGATGCCCCCTCCTCTAACTGGAATAGACCTGAAAAAATTTTGAAATGCACTAGCTTAGCTCGCTATCGCTGTTTGTATGAAATACAAAAGGCTGAGAATAATCGCAGTATACTCACAATTCGACATTTAGGACTCTTGCCCACAGCGAAGTTCGATGGCTTCACGTCACGATGTATGTATCCAATTTGGTGTAGCTCACGACAGGCGTCCAAACACTGTAGGCTAGCACTGAGCCCCGTCGCAAGTGAAAAATACTAAAGATTTGCACTACAATTTGAACTAGTTCATTTATGTACGTATCCATAGCTCACCGAGTTCGACCGTGCCCTCTTTAGATCGGAGAGATTCTTGCCAACCAACTCCATGATGAAAAATCGGAATGTACCTTGATCGCCCACATCAATCAATTCAGTAAAGTGCTTGCGTCCACCAAGCAATTTGAGAATCGTTATCTGGAAAAGCGATGCAAGTGTGATAGAACCAAATTGTATTGGTGTGATCTTGTGCTGCGAGCTGAAGCATGGTCAATCGTCATGTTTATCGGATCTTACAAATTTTACAAAGCCTCTATGGAGTTTCGCCCTGCCCTCGTGAATGAGTTACTGTGTAGAGTGCCCTAGGTGACCCATACAGTGAAAAAACACACTGCACTGCCCAGAAACCATACAGTTAGAAGACAAAGAAACCCATGAAGGAAAGAAAGCACTAACATCTATTTCAAAAAAGATACAAGTAAGATTGGAAAGAAAGATAAAGATAAAAAAGGATAAAGCATTTGCCGTTGATCAATCCCTTTTTGGGATGCGGCACGCATTCTACTTCCATTTGTACATTCGTAGTGGCGTTTGAATGCGATGTGGCCTATACAATGACTTGCGGGGGCCAGCCGATGTACAAGTGTTTTTTATCCTCCCAGACAAGTCTGGTACCAATTAACCGACCCCGGAGGGATGGAAGGCTTGGTTGGCCCGGGCGACTCACGACCCAGGATTTGATCCCGGACCGCTCGCGGGTAAGCGTGCCACTTGCCACTACACCACTTCCGCCCAAAGATAAAGAAACAGAAACAAGTTATAAGGCGCCAATTCAACCTGCGCGTTAGGTGGAGTGCTTGGTACCGCCACGCACCATCCTTCCTCTCATTCAACTGGAGAGAGTCTGCACGAGCACTGATCTTCCGATAAATGTAGTTTTCTTTAGAATTTACAATTTTTTAACAACTTAGATAGATTTGCGATCTCCAGAGAAGCCATTCTCAAAAAAATACCAAGACTTTCAGTATTCTGAAAGCTCTTCTGGTCATGAATAGGATTCAGATTTTAGAAGAATTCAGATTTCGTAGGGATGCACACTTCTTCCTTCAGAGGTTGATAAGCAAATTTAGAAACTTTAAGTTGTTTTTTTTTTCATAAAGGAGTTTAACTCTTATGAACACTCTTTCCAAAACCGTCTCACTACTTTGTGCAAATGTGGGTTATTAGACTTTGAACTGGTGTGTTCATAACTTCATAATGCACTTTTTGCAATTGTTCATTAAGAAACCACGAATTTGGAGATTTTTGGTGAAAGCTAAAACTGATTTCAAGATTGATCGGGTCAGAAGAAGCTCCGGTCCTTTTATTTTCCAAAAGTTTTTCGGGCTATTCCCCATGGTGCACGGCCCGAGCTCAACAAGGTTTTTAACGAATCATGGACACGATGTTATCTGAAACTGGTTGGAAGGCATCTTTCATGATGTGAACTAGTATCTCTAGGAAGCTAGCTACTAATAGTAAACTTTTTGCAGAACAATGTAGCAGCTTCTGGCCGGAACAAGACTGCTAGGCTTACTCGAGCTCGACGGCGATGACAGCGTTTTAAGACAGGGTGAGAGTGAGGCAGTGTTTGCTTCTACACACTTATGGAATAATATTTCAAGAATTTTGCTGCAAGGCTTCCATCAACGGCAGCACCCTGTGTAAAGGAAAGTTTGCTGAAGTGGACACTTTTTCCAGGCACGACGCTTTATTGGCTCCGCCCCCCCCCCCGTAGTTCGTTGAAATAATCCCCTCGGTGAATAAGACAAGTGATTCCGCAACTGCAGAAGTGGTGCAAATCCAGGGTCTCAGGACATCTGTCAACCGTGAGCCTTGGCGGTTCAGCGTTTTGTAGTGATGTCTGGGAGCTCTCACAAGTGCACACTATCACAGCATCTCCTCTTTCTTTATCTTCTTCAAAAGGCTTAGTCCCAATAAGACACAAAGTGTGTGCTTTTCCAGCTACGCTCTCACCCTTTGGTTGACAGAAGCCTTGTAACCGCAAATTCCGGGACTAGAGGAAGTGCGACAAAAGGGCCCACGCTTGGAGGAAGGTTCCACGATAAGGTCAAAGGTTGAAGAAAGTGAAATCCAACTAGCAGAAAGACAAGAGGACCCTATGAGGGTGTGGATTGACACGCAATTCGTAGCGAAGGACGTGTCACCGACGATCTAGCGTAACCGTCGCCGCACTGTTCGCGCCGCTGCAAGGCAAACCTCGCCAGCTCTAGCCGTTCATTAGAGATACACTGCGACGCATAATCTTAGTTCCACCTACAAATTTCCCAAAAACTTGAATCTGGGATGTTTTTGAAAAAGGCTCTACAGACAAATTGTGACACATATAAATGCGAATCTGAATATTATCACGGAAATCCAGTTTGAGAAAGCAACAATTTTTTATCCTCATTTTTTCGAAAATACCCGCTTTGCCTATGACGCAAAATCATAGTTCCACCACATGTTTCTCTGCTGCATTTTGCTTTTACCCAATCAAATATTACCCACTTAAAGGCAAAGGTCGGGCTCAGCCGCGCTAGAGGAGTAATTCCCGTGCCCGGAGGTTGTATGTGAGTAGCTGCACACATTGCAGCAACGTTAAGGCCCCGGGGCGTTCGGTTTCAATCCAGGGCCGCCTGGTCAATCCAGGACCGCCCACCTCCGGAAGTGGTGCGTGGCTGGCATAACGTGTGAAATCAGCTAGGTTGATTGCCGTATCAACCGATAGAACGACTGACATCTCCAGAAAACTTGTTTGTACGTGCCTCTTTCCCCAAGCCAGCCTCCTTCACTGCTAGTGGAAAAGGGTTTTGTTAACGGACCTGTCGACGGTTTTTTCTCAGTTTTTTCCACGTATGCACTTCCCGCATCTCTAACCACTTTCAATCGCCATAAACCCCCCTGGACCCGACTTTGCCTTTATTCCTTAGCATACTAGCAAAGGCACAAACCGTATGCGACTCGAAAAAGAAACCCTAACAAAAGAGACGCAGACCTGCCTGGAATTCCTGCTAGAAATTTGTCGGGGTGCCTTCATAAAACGACCAAGTTCTCCGAACGGATGCACAGATACGCCTGGAAAAGTTATTACTTACCTGGGAAGAACCCTGATTACTATCCGACCGAGATAAGCGCCGTATCGTGAGAAAATAATAACTTTATCCAGACGGGTACGGAAATCAAAACTTCTTCAAAAGTTAGTGTCTCAATGGAAGCAGTTTCACGTGTTTTACAACACGCTCGTGACAGTCCATGTCTGGAAGATAAGAAATACGCTTTTAGTGAAAAGAAATCAGAGAAGAAAACGAGCCATTTTTCTCAAAAAGTTTTGCTAAGTAGAGCGAAGTGAGGACACTTTTTTATCTGTGATATTTTGGAACCTCTGACCATCCTCCTGATCATTTTCTTCTCCATACATGTGTGCTACGAAGTAGAAAACCGATCTGAGAAAGAAAAACGTTAAGAGAAAGAAAGACGCAAATCAAAAGTCTCCTCCCCATTTCCTCCTCTCCTGTTGTCTCCACTCCTCTACCGCCATTGTAGCAACATGTGAATAACCAAGAGTGTGCTAAGTAGGTGTTTATATAGCCACTGTTTTGTTATCACAACCATGCCATTGCAAAACATTGATAGGGCAAGTCCTGCGAGCTACCCAGATTTGTTAGCGGCCTGTTTATTCCATTAGCTGCCTTATCACTCACTTCATTTTGCGGACGGACAGACAGACGTGCATACATACACACAAACAAACCGACACACCAAACTTCTGGTTTATATGTTGAAGTGTTTATTCTTTATTCCTTGGTTCCTAATGGCTGCCCTTTCATCATAAACTTGGCCTTTGAAATTTGCCGAGATACATGTCCATTTTTTGAAAATACGTTGATTTTTGCATGTGGAGCGTACTTATTGTCCTTCCGCTTATTTTCGGTTTTCTCGGTGTTTTTTCTCTTTTTTTTTACTGATGTGATTCCAGTTCGTACCTCTGTTTTCATTATTTAGGGTAATAAGCATACCTTGGTGCTCATTGAACGTGCCTTTTATGAATCCCTATTCCACTTCAGTAGGTCATCGAAAGTGAACTGACCTTGTGTACAACCAGCCATGGAAAATATAGAGCGGGATTTTCGCTAACCATCAAAGGATTTTTCAACTTCTATGGAAAAGTCATAAGGAAAAGAATTCGGGTAAGACTCGTTTTCGAATACTTACAACCAACGCAATTTGCGATGTATATGTATCGCCACTAGGTTTTCGAAATAAGAATTCAGCAAATATGAGCACGAAAGAAGGCCATACCATAAAGAAAATGGGAGCTGACATTCAGAGAATAACCTTGATGGGTCAGTCTTTGTGAATTTAGCGAGTGGCTACGAGCGATGGGTCAGCGGTTCGAAACAGCGCCAGCGATTCGAGCGGTGCCAGCAATTCTGTGTAGGGGAGTGGCGAGGATCCCCTTCATACGCACATTGACTCTAGCCACTTTTCTAGACTTGTGAGGGCAAACAGCATGGGAAAGCGATGAGAGACACA